TTTTTATCTGCCCCGTGTACACGAACGCCGTCACAGCGATTACAAAGTAGTTCTCCGATCCCGTGACGTTATCTGGACTATAACTTTCTCGTTTTATTTCTCATTATCCGAAAAATCGGCTTGTTAATATAGCTCTCGAGTTTCCGGGGGCCGGCTAAAGTGTGGTGCAGGCCGGTGTGTTAATTCAACGTGAAGCGAGGCAGGTCGCAAAACCGTGTCCGATATACTTTGTTCCCTCGTCGATACTTTTGCAGCACGTTGCGATCTTTTTCCGCACCATGTCGCGCCGCTGGGAGTAGAGAGAGAGAGAGAGGTGAGGAGAAAAGAGGAAGAGAGAGAGAGACTGTCTTCTCTCAAGAGCCCGTGCCGGTGCTAAAAACCTGCGTCAGCCGCGACGACGCGGCGGAGGCGAGGTTCACCGGGAACTGCCGTTCCTTATGCGGGAATTAATTAAATTTTGGTGCAGCCAGAGCCAGGCTGACCCCGGAGCGCGTACTTCGCAGGCGGCCGCGTTACTTGGAGATCGTCCTCCTCTCGGCTCTTCCGCGCGGTTAATTCCGCTTTGAGGAGACCACCGGGGTCGAGAGTAGAATGGATAAGCGGCGACGGAGCGTCCGCCGTCGGCTAATACACTGAAAGTTTCCGGCTTTTTCCCGTTTTCGCGCTCGTGCCCAGCCGCTGAATTATTTCGGGGTGCTTTGGCCGCGACGCGCGACTTGGCTCTGCCGCTGCAGAGGGTGTGCGAGATGTAACAGTCCTGATTATGGATTAAGTTTCAATTTCGAATCTCTTAATTTTGGTTTATTAATATATTAAAAAAGTACACATTATTATGACGAAAACATGAGTCGCTGATAACTAAACTTATCCAAAAGTTACACTCCGATTTCTTTCTAATTTGGCACAAATGTAGAAGTACAAAAAATATTTAGATCATATTTTTTTTATTTTGGCCCACTTTGAGTTTCACGGGCAGTTTATAGCTTTTTAATGTTATCACTCCTATCATCAACAAGTACAACAAAAATGCATAAGAAATAAAATTGAATACGACACATAGGCGTTTTTGGTTTGCTGATTATAAATATGAAGTCAAATGTATAAAATTATTTGTATAAATAATAAAATGTTTAAACAAAACATGTATAAAGTTAAAAAAAATTATTTATACAAATAATTTCTTGGTTTGACCGAAATTGGAATTATTTTTTACTAATTTACCATATATTTGAAATATTTCGGTTGAAATTTCGGCTAAAGAAATTTAGGATAATTCGTGTCTCAGCTATGTCGATTTTGTTAAAATTTTAATTAAAATTACCGGATTTCTCTCTCGATTTGACCGAGATTTAAACCATTTTTTGACTAATTTTGACAGATTTAAAATATTTCGGTTGGAATCTCGACTAAAGAAATTTAGAATGGTTCGTGTCTCAATTATGATTAAAATTATTATAGTTAAAATTATTTAACTATATCTTGTATTCAATTTTATTTCTTATACATTTTTGTTGTACTTGATGATAAAAGTGAGAACATTAAAAAGCTTTAAACTGCCCGTGAAACTCAAAGTGAGCTAAAATAAAAAAATATGACCTAAATATTTTTTGTACTTTTACATTTATACCAAATTAGAAAGAAATTGAAGTGTAACTTTTAGGTAGGTTTACTTGTGAGTGCCATAAAAATTTTTTATATTTCATAGCTCTTTTGCAATTTTATATTCCAGAGTTACATTTCCCAGTTAAAATTTCAGCCCTACTTTTGACTTGAACTTTCTGACATTTGTATATTCTGAAGGATCTCAGTGTATATGTTTAATATGCATAGAAACTAAAATCCTACTTAATGCCTCTAAGTGCAGGAAATACCCAAAATGCCACTTGTAAGTTCTAAAGAGGCAAAGTAATATTTATTGTTTCTCATAATTGGAACGCACAAGTGTTTCTAATTATTTTACTATGATCTAAAACAAACTCACTACGAATGCAATAATTTTGTTTCAAGACTATGATGTCAGTTGCTCATATTGGTGTCGACAGTTGGTTTGAATATTGAATCAGCAAATTTACGTAAATGATTGAAAGTTCCCCTAACCTTCAATGAACCCATAATTAGGATCGTCACCTTAATGCGACTTATTGCCGTGGCTGCGCGATGTTAACTCGAGCAAGACTTGTCGTGGTATCGACGAGAGCGAGCCGATACTTGGAGTCCGCAATTTTCGCGGATTCGATAATCGGATTCCGGGATCTCCGCTCTCCCGGATTCACCCCCCGACCCCGGATCGAACGAGCCAATATCACAGCGCCCTAAGATACGCGATCGCGTAGCGTGTGTATAGAGACTGCACGGCGGAGCTACGCGGAGGAGCGCGTCTCCTCGTAGAGAAATTTAGCACGACAATGGCGGGATTAGTTCCGGCGGATCGGGGAGCCGCCATTGTTCGGATTTCGGTCGAACCTATCTCGCCGTCGGTACATTCCGGATTGTCCTGATAGCCGAGGCGATCCATCAGCTAATCAGTTCGCTCGACGTGTTTCTTGGAGTACGCGCCGTTCGTTTTACATGCGGGCCGCGTCCATGCGGGTGCTAACTACTAAGATCCCTCGCGCTCTTCCCTGCCGTGCAATCCGCGAATGCTACCTGCCTCCATCGTTGTATTCGACATTCGTGTCTCCCTCGGCAAGTTATACCGGCAGGCTGAACGGAGAGACGCAAGGTATCGCGCATTTTAATCGAAGTACATGAGGCACCGAATTTTTCTTGCACATGTATTTACGAAATAACGACCGTTGCCGTGTAGCGCAGCGGGATATATGATGCGGAGCTTTCGCCGTGAAACTTTTCCATAATTTCCAATGTTAACATCCCGATAATTGAATCTCCCCAGTGAATTCCCCTCTCTCCCTCATTCTCTCGAAATAAGCTTCGCCGCGAATCGATTAAAGAACTCTGTTATCTATTTATACCACCGGAGCATAATTCCCCACGATGCTCAGCCTCGAATTTCATTAACGTGAATATCGGGTTCTGAGTGGTTCGACAATGAGATCGCTTGGATTTTTCATCGGGAAAGAATCGAACCGCACTCGAGGGAGAATAAAGGTGTGTCATCGTTCGCGGGACTTGCCGAGCGTATTAAGCCGGTCGATGGCCAGTCGAGGTGATGGGGAGTTCGGTGATATAAACGATGCTTTATGGGGCTCGACGTTCTAGGAGGAGACGAGCGTTTTCGCTCCGCCGTCGGCGGCGATAAAATTTTTTGCCAGCCCCATCTTTGCGTTCTCGGGCCTTGAAAGTCGAGTGGCGGAATTTACGGCGTCGCGGTCGGTCCCGCCGTGTCGCGAAGACGGTCGGGCATTTCCATATCCTCACGTAACGCGAGAAGCGTGTCGTGGAGCTGGGAAAATATGGAGATTCATATACGTACGGCGAGACCGCGTATCTCCGAGGAATTTGTACAGCGCGACGGCGATTTCCGCGAGGGTAACTTTTCCTTCTTTCGTGGGACATCCACGTTTTTTACTCTCCATTTACCCCAAAAGGGTGAGACATTTCGCGTCGCTGGCGGTCGCTTTTCGTGTTAATTATATTTTCAGTGATTGAGGCGAAAGTATCAATATACCCAATTCTGGACATTCTTGTTGTTTTGGTTCTTAAGTACGAATATATAAACTTTCAACCTGAAATATATTGCATATTGAATATTCAGAGTGAATCTTTTAATGCTAGATTTTAAAGTATTTCTTTTTTAGAAGGAAATATATATATATATATATATATATATATATATATATATGCATAAATTGGAAGAGTCGAAAAAGTTGGTTGACTGTGACACTCATCCCTTCCAACCATACAATTTATTCCTTATGCATTTTCTTCTAATATAAAAAAAACAACAAAAATATTTTAGAATCTAACGTTAGGTGTAACTCACTCTAAAGATATATTTTATGTTGAAAATTTAAATGTCCGTACTTTTAAAGACCAAAACGATAAAAATAACCTAGTTTAGGTACATGTCCGGAATTAGTATTTTTATCTTTTCTTTTTTAATGAAATATTGTCGAGGGTTCTGATTATTTCGTAATTTTATATCTCGTGTTTTTTAACCGATTTTGCAAACTATATATCCTCCCTCCTCCCAACGTGTTCACTCCACGAATTCTTCGTTAATGATAACAAAATTGTCTCCGTGTACGCGCGCTCGTTAGAGATTTACGATGAAAGAGAGGAAGGAAGAAAGGGAGGGAGAGAGAGTTGTCCGTCGTCCGTGATTTTACAGCGGATTGTGCACCGTGCGAGTCGACGGTACAACTTCCGGAAAAGCGACGCTTCTTCCTTCACACCGCCCTCCATATTTCAGCGGCACCCTCAGGACCGTCGCCGCCTACTTCCGGTAACTTCCAGACACGCGGAGCCGTGCCTTAAGCGGAACTTAATATAGCCGATTTATTGTCATCCCGAAAGGTCGTTTACGGCGAGTTTGCAGTGCGTGCTCAGCGTACGATTTCGCACTCTCTCTTTCTCTCTCTTTCTTTCTCACACACAGACACTCTCTCACACTCTGTCCTGCAACCGATGAGAGTCACGTCCATATCGAATCGCGAAACCAAGGCGTTCTCTTTTATTGTTCGGATCGCCTTGAATCGAAATTTTCCGATTGCTTTTCCACTGGACTGTTTCGCGTGCGTGCGCGCAAGTCGTAAAATCATTTTTAAAGAAGGTGGACAAAACGAATGAAATGAACGAACGTCGAAATTGGTTCCGTGAACGGAGCAAAAGAAAAATGTAAGAAAAATTCAAAGTCTTCAGAATTAGTAATAATTCCGATAAGACAATCGAAACACTTCGCCCACGACATTGTTTGCACGTCGCGGACGATTCTCGTTCCGAGAAACGTCTATGCCGCGAATTACGTCGGGATTCATTAAGCGCATCTGATTAAACAGCACGCTCAAATAGTGCTTAATCCGTAATGTAATGCACATTAATAACTGATATAGGAGCGTGTATTTCCATATTATCTCAGTGTTACAGCATCGTGTCATTCCTCCTATCAATGTCGCACAAATTTTTATTTTATATGCGATACAATATCATGTTTACACGATAAAATCGATTAATATAACATAACACATATAATTATAACGATTAATTAGTAGCGAGACAGCGAATGATTTATAGCTTGTCGCATTTGTTGGCTGGCATTATCACGCAGGTAGGCACAGGTGGAACCTTGCACAAGCACCTTATACACACGTCTTTGGAGTCCGATCTTGGATTCAGCTCGTCGTGATGATGTAGCGTTAAATTACCGAACCGGCATTCCACTGAAAAAAACCGAAAAACAGATCGATAAATTATCGAAGTAAATTGCCACCACGTGGTCTTCCTAATTGACGTTCACATGAAAATCTGGCACGGCTGATGAAATATTCGCGACAACGGAACGTTCGCGAAGAGGAAGAACGTAAGGTAAAAGTACCAATTCTGTGGACATATATCCAATCGCAGTCATTCTTACAGTTTTAGTCTTTAAATATACGGAATAAATGTTTGATGGGATTAACGAAATTCCGGATAAAGAAAACAGAAAATTCCACTTGAAGCTGTCAAAATTCTGTTCAAGCTAACCATTTTGTTAACTTGAAGAGAATTCTGATAACTTCCATCGGAATTTCTGATTCGTTCATATTTCACCAGAAATTTTATTAATTCAATCAAACTCTTCTTTCCTTGTATGAATGTTTAAATTTTTAACATGGAATATATGTATACATATATATTCAATATAAGTATACTAATTATATTTGTGTATGTTAAACGTTTAAACATATTTGTATTTTTTTTTGTAAAAACCAAAATATTAATTATTTATTTTTATAAATATTTATTATTATTATTATTTTTGTATTTAAAGATCAAACAAAAATAATATCCAGGATTAGGTACGAATTGATACTTTTATCTTAATATATTTGATAAAATTAACGAAAATTGTACTTACTTTCGGGTACTTCGTCAGATTCATGGGTGTGAATAACGTAGTCGTTCTCGTGCTCTGAAAAATTTCACGAGATGTTAGGCGAGAATGCGCGAAGAAATCGCGAGGACGTGTATTTGCGATTTCCGCACACGCGCGTGAAACGTTTTCCGCGGTACTTACGGCATCTGTGAAATAAATTGCAGCCAGTTTGACGCGGCTGTTCGTTGTAATAAACCGGTGCACAGTATTGGCGAACACTGGCTGCGTCTGTGAAGTAAGGATCGCAGCGTGCGCGATTCAGTTTCACGCAGAAGGGCGCAACGTTCTCATCTGGAAACGCGGGATCTTTCGTTAATAATTAAACGATAAAATATTCACGTTAACGCGCATCACTCTCGCCACTTGATGCGCGGAAGAAGGATCTCTCGTATTTATGGCGACTTAAACGCGATCATTTTCACTTGCGCGTCGCGTCGCTGAACTCTCCTCACCTTCCTTGTATCCCGCTTGGCAGACACAGGCCAATTCTGGGTCGCTCGCTACCTTGAAATGCTGTCCTTCTTTATAAGTCTTACCATCCACCACACAGGTTGCTCTGTCTTCCGGATTCTTGGCTGAGAAACGTACGCAATTATACATGTTTAACAATGTACTTAAAGGCGAGATCCTCGCAATGTTACACATAATATTTAATTATCTTTGTTGTGCACAGTGGAAAAGATTGATAGAACTATGACGTGTTATAATAGCATAATTAAATGCATTTTGGCTGAAGAAAACAGAATTTCTCTGGTTTTTATAAACTATATTCAGTTGTTACAAATAAAAAAATCAAATACGTTTAGTTGTGTGATTGTCACATTAATTCAACCAATCCATTTTCTCCGAGTGCAATTTCTTTCCATCTTTCCGTGTCGTTTAAACGTTCAGCATTTTGCAAAGTTCTTCGCGATACTTGAATTTAATTATATTACGGTTATATTGCAATTAAGCGGAAGATTGAATCATGATAATCAGATCTTATCAGATCTTAATCAGATTAATTATCTGCAACTGTACACTTAATCCACAGAAGTCTATACCGTTCTCACTAGATCGATAATTATAAATTTTTTGTCAACAGAAGCATCTGTTTCTAATTACGCGTTTCTCAAAAGAGAGGTGAATACATAAAAAATTAATATAAATATTTAATTACTACCTGCTAATTGCGTGTTATAAGTGGGTAACCTTCTTTACTGACATGTACGAAACATCAAGCTGTCGAAATATCACTTCTAATTTTCGAATACGTTCGCTCTTTCTCAATTAATTATCAATTATGAGGAACGCGAGAAACAAATGCAACTGATCGAGAAGTTCTGTAACTATGGATCTATCGATAAATTGATCTGTTCGATATGTCGATAGATACTATACACTTTCGACCAATCACATTCCTTTCTCATACAACCATATTCCATTACGGCCATTCTATTCAACCATGGCCGACGATTCCTGGCGCTTTCGCGGCGACACCAATTTATCGTTCACGTATAATTTATAGTATTACGTTATATTCGCGCTCATTCACAACAGTCGGACTCAAGATCAAGATCACTCTTTTCACGCCGAGACGAGTATCGTCTTTGATCAATCGATAGTAAAGAATCCGTGGGATTGAGTACGTGATGGTAAAAATACAGTACGTGATATCGAGACGCATGTTGGAAGGGACCATAACATATAATAATGTAGGATCGTGTAATATTAGTACCACGGTGTAGAGTGAATATTTCAGTAGACGAAAAATCACGCTCAAGCTCGAGAAAAGCCGTTGAGGGCAGCGCGATTTTCGACACATACATGCGCGCGGGCTTTGTGTGTGCGCGGCGTAGCGTCAGTCATAACAGCCCGGGACGCGGCGGCAGCGCTACGCTAGAAAATTCCGCGCGCTATATCCGACTTTTTCGAGTTGATCGGGACTAATTGCGACACTTCGCGATCGCGGTCATTATCCTGAGGATCTCGTGAACGTCGGCAGCGTCCCGATATCGAGGAGGTAACCGTCGCATAGAGAATATACATCCGAGCTCCCGTGTTCTTCCTTTCGCGAGACACAACCTCTTTATCTTTCTACGTTCAATTAAAGGTAGCTGAATCTAACCGGGACGACTCTCTTAGGTTTGTTCGAGTTGCTTGTACTATTCACACTTTTACACCTAATTCCCGTTGCACACTAGTGCAGCTCATACAATACAAATTTTCCAAAATACGTTCTGACGCTTTTAGGACGGAGGGATGTCATCAGAATATTTTTAGGACGTCCTTTGAAGATGTGAGCTGTCTGAAAATAGCTAATATCCAATAAGTTTATTCGCATTAATTGAACTTTTTACACTTTCACACTTAGTGCACATTAATTCTTTAGAGGTTCTAAAAATGACGTCATGCTTTCCGTTCGAGTGTAATTGCAATTTTGATACACTTTTTACACTTGATCCCAAGCAAGAGTGAAAAGTGTATTAGAATTGCATTTACACTCGTAACACGAACGGAAAACATGACGCCATTTTTAGAACCTCTAAGGAATTAATGTGCACTAAGTGTGAAAGTGTAAAAAATTCAATTAATGTGAATAAATTTATTGGATATTAGCTATTTTCAGACAATTCACACTTTCAAAGGACGTCCTAAGAATATTCTGATGACGTCCCTCTGTCCTGAAAACATCTTCAGAATGTATTTTTGAAAATTTGTGTTGTTTGGAGTGCACTAGTGTGCAACGGGCATTAGGTGTAAAAAGTACAAGCAACTCGAACAAACCTATGTCTGTTTCAAATCTCGAAAGAAGAGTTCGCGGAGACGAGCATGACGGAAAGTACATCGAGCGCTTTCACCAGCTTTCCCGGGTTCATCTGCATAATCGGGCGATTCGTCATGTAACAATGTAAGATTGTGTAATATTAATGCTATAGCGTAGTGAACGTTGAATTGACGAAAAATCACGAAAACGGCACATTCAAGCTCGAAAGAGTCAGCCAAGGGCGGCGCGTCTTTCAAAACATTACGTACACACACGCGCGCGGGCTTTGTGTGTGCGCGGCATAGCATTAGTCATAACAGCCCGGGACGCGGTAGCGAGCGCCACGTTAGAAAATTCCGCGCGTTATACCCGACTTTTCGAAGTCATTCAGAACTATAGAGCGGCTAATTATAACACGTCGCGATCGCGGTCATTATCTCGGAGACCTTGTCAGTGTCCTGATATCGAGAAGGTAATAGTTGCATATAGAATATACATTCAAGATCCCGTATTTTCTATTCATACGCGTTGAGACATAATCTAGGTTAAGTTCCGACATTCACTACTGAAAACTTATAATACATTAATGGATTATAGATTTTTAGTACTGCCAGTGAATATCGGAATATAACTTCTCTACCTAATCTATATCGATCTAACCTCTGTATCTGTAATTAATTAGAACTAGCTGGGACTAACTGGAACGACTCTCTTGTTTGTTTCAGATCTTGAAGGAAGAGCTCGCGAAGACGTGCACGACGAGAAGCAGCGAACGCTGTCTCCGACTTCCCCGGGTTTACTTGCACGAACAGGCGATCACTTGCGACACTTCGCGACCGTGAACATCATCTTGAAGACGACGCGAATCGTACTGAGCATCGACAGTGTTCTGATATTGAAAGGGTAGCTATCTGTTTTCGCTATATTTAACAAAAGAGATATACTTTCAAAGCCCGGTATTCTTAATTTATTCGTATCGATCGACAATCTTTCTATTTATGACTGACTAACTATAGCTAACTTTGGCTATATTAACCTGTAATCATAATTAGCTTTTCTTAATAAATTTGGCCTGGAGCTATTGCTCCTTTGTCCATTATAACTAGCTGTAACTGATAGGAAACGTTCTTTTTCTTTCAGACTGAAGGGAACAAGACATGACGCGCATTCGACCACGATGCCATGACGTCACGACAACATGCCAGCAGACGTGGATGCTGCACCGGAGGATCCGGTTCGGGCCAAGCAGGGTCGGCTTGAAGGTAAGTTAAATTTGCTTGAAAAATTCAGTTAATTATTCAAACTTACTGTCAATCACGATTACAAACGAATTAAACTATCTCTTATCTACGTTCGACAAAGGTAAATAATAGAATGTAAACAACGAAACTGTATTTTTTTGTTATAGATTCAGCAGCAGAACGTGGCCGGCCCTGAGCTACTGAGTACCAGGTTAGTGAAAGAAATGAAAACAAAATTTTGAAGTGACAACTTCTGGAATTTTAGATAATAGGTCCACTTTTGATATTTCGTAAAAATCAATGCGATCTACTTAGTTGTTGTTTGCATACTGTAGTAAATTCGCGCAAAAGATTGGTCGTGCTTGGAAAATGAGATGTAAAAGCGGAATTATCCGGTCTCGAAGTATTCGTAATGCTTATGAATAGAGTCAACACAATAAGAGGTAAACAGAATAAAAAGTGACTGAAGTAAACAATGCCAACTCAGTCTTTTTTCTTCAGACATCTATTGAGATCTCTTCTTTCTTTCTTAGTATTCAAGTCAGCAACTTTCCACAAGTCTCGGAATTTAGTTGAATAACGACGAATCTTTTGCGCCAATGTAGTAGTTGCGAACAATTGAACGAAATGCAGTGATATATATTGTTTTCTTTCCGTTAAGAAATAAGAAATAAGAATATAGAAAAATAGTTGACACAAAGTCCGTTATTGCAGATATTCTCAATGTGTGAAATAATTAATTAAATCAGACGCGTGTGCAATTATTATGAAATCTTCTCATGAAAGGTTCTCTTCATTTTATGAGTATATATTCTAGTAGTTAATTTAAAAGGAAATATATTTTCTCCGAAAAGAAAATTTTAATTCTTTAATGCACTGATAAAGCATTATATACATCAAAATTCCCGACTAACGACTCATTAACGATATCACTGCTTCTTTCAACGGTTCGATTTCCCGACACTGTATGTCGGTCAACTGTCGTCGAATGAAATTCGACGCCTCAATTTCGCGATATACATCGCGAAGTCATTAAGCGTCGCAAATAGCAACGCTCAATCGCGGAACCATCAAACATCGAAATGGCGACGCTCAATCGCGAATCTCGCGGTAATTTCACTCGCGTTAATTAAATTTCGCCATCGGTCGCGAACTTTAGCCCTTGTGTATATTGACGTGATTCCGTTTACATGCAAATACGGTTACGGCTTTTCTTGACGAATTGAAGTCATCAAGGCATCGTGAAGCAGTTTAACGCGACGATTTTACGCGATCTGACAATTTGATTTCTTAATTGCCATTTTTTCACTTCTCTTTTGCGATCCGCGGTTCGCGATTTTCGCGTTTTTCAGCAGTGTTTCGCGACGTGTTCCTGCAATAGCGAACTGCATCACAACTGCATCGCAACTTTCGTTAATATCCGATGTCTCGACGTATTAAAACTGAAACGAAGCGGTCTAACGCGACGATTTTATTGCGATTTAGTTATTATTTCGTTTGTAGCTGCGTCGATTTTGCGACCGTCATATAAATTTGATCACTCAATTCCGATCGACTTAAATCGAAACTTGCGTCTCCGGTTCGCGATTTTCGCGTTTTTCAGCAATGTGTTCTTGCAGTATCGAGTTTTATTTTTATTTTCGTTAATACCTGACCGCTCGATGTATTAAAGTATAAAAATCTGTTGCGGATGTAATATAACAAAAAGTGAAGTGCAATCAACGACGTTGTGAATGCAGAGGATGACCGGACGGATGCGGAGCTCAACAGCTGGGTCATCGCTGTACTTCAATCTACATTGGTGAGCGAATTTTTGCTCCACGAAATTGTATCATCTGCGTACAATTTCAACATTAGTGCATGCGTAGAAGTAGATGTAGATTGCATTGATTTTTAACGAAGAATATTTAACCACTTGCCTTACAATTTCGTTTGCAATTCTGCATCGTAATCAAACACTGGATTGTTTGCAAGTAAAATCAAGTAAACATTTTGGAAATAATACATTCATTCGCTCTTTGTTGATTTAGCTAGACATTTAGATCATGACACAAAATTGTTTTGAAATTATTTTCCTTATTAGCATGAACTGTCAATCAATGATGCATCATGCAATTAGTTTCGGCAACATTATATATTATTATACAGCACAAGCGCGACCTATATTTATTACATATGGCTGGTAATCGATATTATTAGGCAAGAGGTTAAAATTGTAAGCAGTGAATCGAAATTCAGAATCTACTCATAAGTCTCACAAATGGCGATTTGTATATTGAATAATGCTCGTTATAATTCCTTCTTTTCTACCTCTTAAAAATCTCTCCCATTTATATTGAAATTTACTATAAGAAAAAATAGTGAAAAAATGTATAAAAAATAATGATAACAAAAATAAAACAAGAGAGATGTGTTATTTTATTATCATATTTTATTATATTTATTCAATATTTATCTTTGACAATCACTAGAGTCATTATAATATTTCGATAATTGGTGCCGTCGTGTAAAAGTTACGTGTAAGATATGGCTGATTGGATATAACAAATTAAATATGTAACCAACAGAGAGTCAATAATAGAAGCTAGATATATATATATATATATATATATATATATATATATATATATATATATATATGTAATGAATTGCATTTGAACAGCATTATTTCTAGTTATTAGAATTCCTGTTAACTAAGTTTTGAGACAAGCTAAATGTGTGTCAACAGTTAAACGTGTTAGGGTAGATTCCAAATTCCGACTCACTGCATTATCGGATGATTTAGTGTTCGAATTGATATTGAAAAATAATCACGTGTTACAAGGATCACATATATTATGTTTATTGCTATGAAATCATATATTGAATCATATATTGCACTGTTATTATTGAATCGTTAAATTGTTATTTAAATGCGTTATTTAACGTGACATAATATGTTCTGGCATATGTGTTATATAATCACTCAAGTCCGCATACGCGGATTACTCGAACAATCCGGGATTTAATGTTAAAAGTGGCATTATATGAAATTGAATTTCTGTCATTGCCTGTATATATATCTACAAATTTCTATCTACGCGCCATCAACAATCGCATATAAATTTTCCGCGAGATATATCGTATTATCTCACTCGACACCACTCGTTTGCGCGCAGCTTCAGCGCGCGCAATTTTCGAGAGGTGCGCTGAGAAAAAAGAACACTTGAAAATTTATTTGTGGAATACAAAGTTTATTCTCGCGGAATAAAACTTATTTTCGTGAATGAACTTTTTTCGACTTCTTTTAAATATTTTTTTCCACACATATGTGTGGTAATTGAAGAAAATAGAATGAAAAATGATGAGAATCCATGATCCGCATTGAGAGACAAGTATTCGGAAATTTATTTGTAGGATGTAAGTTTATTTTTCTCACAGAAACTTTATTTCGCAGAAGAAAGTTTCATCTCATAGAAATAAACTTGACCTACAGATAAATGTTCGAGTATGTTTTTTCTCAGATCGCGTTCGTGGATCGAAGCTGATTCTCGCACGGCCGTCAATCGTCGCGACGACTAACGCGTAAACGTTACGGAAAGATAAAGTAGGCCTCGTTCGCGATAACGTGCGTCTACTTACGACAAACCAACGGTCCGGGGCAGCATTTAGTCGGGGAGTCCCTCGTGTAGCAGCCAGTCGGTATAACCGACTGGGGGCAGTCGGTTGGGGACTCCATGGCATGGCAATTGAAATTGGCTCTGTTCGGAAAGGCAACGCAGTCTGCATGAAATGGAACTTAGTAATTTCGTTAGGCGATAAAGCGGCGATTTAAGCGGAATATTTCCATTCGGCAGCGCGATCGAACGCGTTAAAGGTGAAAAGAGAATTTGCTCGCGATCTGACTAAGTGAATTTATACGGAATGAAATCGGGCCGAAAACTAATTCTCCTGCTGCAGCGCGCTGACGACGAATCCATACGCGGGCCGTGCGCGTTTGCAATTCTTATCGGAGCTCTTGATGCTATACGCGCCAAGACGCGCCGTCGGAATGTGTTACCTTTAAAAAGAGACGTTTTAGTGCTCTCTTCGCGATCGCAGGAAAAAAAAACTCGCGGAAACGTTACGCAAATCGATCTTGCCGAGTAAATAACGCGTTTCTCGGGAATAGTTCTTCCCGACGATGGCCTTTTAAATCGCCTTGCGGAGAAATAACCGATTAATCGCATTTATCTGGATCGCGACGCCAGTTTTCCCTTTCCTGAGAAAGTTTCCAATAATAATAATAGTAATATTCTTCCGTGTTTCGCTTTACTCTGATTTCTTCTCAAACACAAAAGTTCAACACGCAGATGGCACAATTTACTAAAATATATCTTAAAGACGCTCTATATCTCTTAAACGTTTTCTAGACGCCTGTAAGGCATCTTTTAGTTATTTGTGCTGTCTGAGCGAGGTATTTGTATATAGAAAAGATCTTTGAATCGCACTCACATTCCATCACGTCCCATCATGCATACGCAGTCATGGTCGCAAGGATTTGCATCTTCATCTCTTATCTTTTCGTTGATCTCGTATGCCTTGCCGTTGACGTAACACTTGTTTTTGGACCTTTCCTTCAGGTGATCGCAGTTATAGCTTATTGCGCAACAGTCGCCTTCCTTTTCGTACACAGGCTTGCAACCCAACGACTTGTAATACATCAACGGGCCCGGGCACTTTACCTCGTTGCATGTTTCTTTGCGAAAGAGAGAATAATGAGCGAAAAATGTCGGGTTTGTTTTCGCCGTGACGATTTGTACTCTCGCTCTAACGGTTTTCATAAACGTGAAATCGCGCGGAAGTAAGTCAAATTCAGTTTATTATAATGACGATATATCGTTGGCGAAATATGTCTAACAGGATCCAAACGATCGCTAGTTTAACATTTGACACGAAATTAACACGTTAACGTCGCGAAATGTAATATAGAATGACACGATTTTCGTGAAAGTTTTTTACTTAAGGACTTACCTCGGTCAGCCACGACAATCGTGGCGACAAACGCCAGACAGGCGCAATTTTGAATAAAGAAATAAATGCCGCGATGTGACATAATCGAACACAAGACTCCAACTGATACGGTACGCACTTGCAGCACGCAATTTATATTTTGTATTGCGTAAGGATACGACACAGATAACGATAACTATCCGAAATAGCGGAGGAACTCGTCAAATGACGAAGGGGGGACGCGAGAAAAAAGACGAAGCAGCGAGTTCGACAAAGAAAGAGAGCGATTCTCTTTCAGCAATTGGAGAATAAAAAACACCCGTTCGATGCGAAAGATAAGAAGTCGCGAAAAAGACGGAGACGTTGGCAGGGACTTGGAAGAAATAAGGAAAAGAAGAGAATTTCCCCCCGTTTGAGGCGTTACGAGGCGAAAGAGTTACATTCTCGTTTTATCAGTCACACCGCACACATGTGCGCGCATGTATAGGAAAAACCCGATGAAAAAGAAAACGCGAGCGAGGTAAAAATAGCGATGAGATAATAGCGTAGAAATTTTAAATTTAAATATACGTACCGCAAATTATTAAAGAGAAAGATAAAATCTTCTGTCATATAGATATTTCTTAGGAATTATAAAAGTATTAGATAGGCAATAGTGCTTTTATTTGTCTGATTTTTCTCTTGTTAAATTTATTTTCCCAGAGTATCTTCGAAATAAATATTCCGTGGATTAGAGAAGATCGATGTAGCGTTTGTTACGCAAATAGGTTGTAAAATTTTCCAAATGAAAGTTCAAAGGGAGGTTTTGATTTGGATGGCCGAAGAAAACGGTAGATTTTTACGAATCCTTTTTTGAAGAAATTATTGAAAACATCAATATAAAATTTCGACTATATGTATGTGAGATCTATTGAGCATAGGGAGAAATAGAAGGAAACTCAGACGTTAATAACTAACTAGTTCATTTCTTGCGACCAAAATGTATATTTCGTATAATATACAGGGTGTTTCACATTCTCCTCCGGGCGTTTTGTGGGGACGTGGAGTGGGTTGATGTGAACATGGGGGTCCTGTACCGTTTTGCGATATTCGCAATAATTGTCGAGATGTTGATTGTGGAAAATTTATGAATGATCATGCAGGATACGGTGAATGAGCTGATCTTGCTTTCTATGAAAAGTTTATACATAATTAATGAATGGGACGCCTCACTTGCTTGGTCCAACGCGCGCCCAATTTCAGTCTGCCGTGGGCAGCAAAGCGTGAGTGTTGTTCGATCAGATCATCATGCTATCCAGATGGCTTTGCGCACTTCTCTTGATTCTAACGATTCAAGACATTATTGCGAACACTGACTATATCGGTGAGAAAGATATTATATAAAATATAATTAATCGTGCTTTTGCGATCAACATTTTGATTTTTTAAAAATCCGCATAAAAAACAAAAATTTATAGCATGAAAATTATCACTTGCTAATAAAGAATATTAGAAGAAAGAGTTATAATAGCGACGACTGCCGTCGTGTACTTATACTTTAGGTCAAATTGAACAAAAAACTCCTTTACCATTTTGCAAATAAGAACATAGGTTTTTAATTATTAATTAAAGAAGATGATTGCATTATCACGCAAAATCGTGTAATAATCTTCTTTAATTAATAATTAAAAATCTATGTAATTATTTGGAAAATGGTAGAGGACTTTTTTGTTCAATTTGACCTAAAGTATAAATACACGACAGTCGTCGCTACTATAACTCATTTACCATATTCTGCATGATCATTCACAAATTTTCTACAATTAATATCTCGATAATTATTGCGAATATCGCAAAACGGTATTGGACTTTTATGTTCATATCAACCCATTCTACGTCCCCACAAAATGCCCAGAGGAGAGTGTGAGACACCCTGTATGGAAAAATATACCGTCAACTTTTTGCGCGGAAACAAATCAGAAAACCAGAGCGAACTCCGCTCACTTCTTCGACACCTTATATTCTCAATCTTGTCATCTTTTGATCCGTTTTGGTCGCTCTTTATTGGCCAAATTTGAGCGTCGGACCTTAACGTCTCGATATCTCGCGCGGTATGTTTATTCGCGAGCTCGCACTACTCGCGTGACTTATCGCTCTCGACTTTTATTTAACGCGACAATACAATAAAATCTTGCGACAGGTGAACAGGTAAACACAAATAGATAATGCCTAGACTCGCTGCTACCAAACTAAACTCATCTTGGATCCTACATATATTTTTTATGATTGTTTTAAATACAAAAAAATTTATTATTAAAAAAAATTGAAATTCTATCGACTAGGTTTTTCACGTTAAGCGCGGTGACGCTGGACATTATCTGGTGGACGACATTACACAGCTCGTGTAATAATCTAAAATAAATGGGGTAAAAAAATTTAAAACTGTATTAAATTTGCTGGAGGATGAATCTTTATTATGTGCAGAAAGTCGAAATTTAACAGAATGGTGGCACGTCGAAGTTGCAAGTCCTTTTTTCCATTTGCGTTCTGTCCCGAAAAATATGGGAAAATGGAAATTTTCCAAAATTAAAATTTAAGTTCATCTTCCAACAAATTTATTACAATTTTAAAAAATTTTTGTCTCATTTGTTTTAAATTAATATATGAGCTACTGTAATATTATCCGTTATACTTAGGAGCGTCCAATGACTATGTCCAGCTCGCAAAACCTGGACAAATTTCCAATTTTTTAAAATAAAAAATAATATTTTTATACTCAAAACAATGATAAATGATATGATCAAAATCCTACTTTGATATCTTTATTTATTTCTTTGAGGGAAATTCGTGAAAATTTCCTATTTTTCGATTATCTAAACCAGAATCCCCCCTTAAGAAGTTGTTACACAATAACAGAGAAGCAATAGCGCTCCACTTTGTCAGTTGTTGTAAAATCGCCGAGATAACTGTCATTAATCTCATCGTCGGGATACGATAGAAGGGATATACTCCATTCACTCTCGTCAATCACCGCTTTATTTCACATGTCTTTCCTCTCGACTGGTTCGGTTAGCTTTTCGCTCGTGATGGCGTTTTCCATTCGTCGTGTATATTTTACAGGCTGATAAGCCAGTATCAGTAAATTGAGAGGTTCGCGTGTTACTCGACGTCGTTTTCCGTTTCCCGTTTCGCTTCACGTTGGAACACGCTAAAAGCCGCGCTCTCGTTTCCCGAACGCGACGTTAACGTTAACGCGCGCGGTATCGTTCTCGCGAACTGTGCAGGAAACGAGGGCGGCCAAGCGGCAGGCAGGCAGTCGGGTGGGACTTTTCGACCGCATTGCGATAAATCGCGCGGGCTAACGGCAAGCCGCGCGAGAGCTTGCGAAGTGTCAACGGTAAAACCACTTAGAAGTTTAAATGAGAAATGGGTAAACGTTTGGCACTGCGGAGTGTGTAAACGACTCTGTTGCTGGTTTACGCGCGCGCCCTGCTTGCCAGCCAGCCGGCACAGACGATGTCCAGAACGCGGGAATTGGTTCGCCGAGTGCAAACTGATTATTACGGCGCGGTGCCGGTGCGCGAGAACGTCCGTGTTCGCGATAATCGCAAAATTACGAGCGCGAAGATCATCCGCGAGAATAAGCCCGGCGGGAACGCGCCGCGGCCGCGTTAATGCTTGAAGAATGGCGCAATGTCACGCTATAATAAGTCCCCGTACGATATACGATATTTGCGTAGTATAATATTCGCGATTCTATCCGATCGTAATCGCGGAATAACGTAGAAACGCGTGGCGTGGGTGTTTTCTGGAAACGGGACAAAACGGTGCCCAGAAGTAATCGCGACTCGGACAGAATTCTCTACGGTACGGTATTTCACTGTCGCGGTGGAGATTCGTCGCGCTCGCGTACTGTTCCTGTCGTACATTGTGTGGATGTTCACTACTAGTGGAGAGAAAAATTTACGATTTAAATCAGGACATCTAATTGTGTCATGGTTTACTTATTGAGTCAAATTAAAACCCGACAGAATATATTAAACGTAAAATATCAAGGGAATAGAGGGCACTGGGTAATTAAGCATTAATACATATATAATCACTCGGATGCATTTTATATGCCGTACATCACTTAATAAAGTTTCAGATGATGAATATCGCATGAAAAGACCAGTAACCGTGGAAAAGTCGAGGCAAAGAAAGAGAAGATGAGTCACTTTACAGAACTTAATTAATCAATCGTGGAATTGATTAACGTCAAAAATTATGATTAAGAAAATAAATGTCAGGCTTTGCGCACATCAAGTTATGGAAGATCATGTAATTGCACTCTCTCTCTCTCCCTCTCTTTCTTTTTCTTTCTCTTCCCATTGTTTTGTTTCGGTCGTTCATCGATGTTGTCACGTAAGATAGGCGGTGAAACACTCATTTCCGCATTTTCATCATGCGAGCAAAGTACAAAGCGGTAAACGTCGATATTTTTATTACGAAAAATGAGCCGTAGAATAAAGGTAATTTGACGGTATCACAGAATTCGAAGTAGTTAGTGCTGGAAGGGTGGGTGTTTCGTGACGTCGCACTCCTTGTCCGGCAAACGCTGGCAGGTTGGTGTAGGCGGCACCTCGCAAACGCACTTGACGCACACAGAACTGTAGTCAGTGGCTTGATTCAGCTCGTCGCCGAGATGCATCTTCAGGTTGCCAAACTGACACACGTTCTCTTCTGGAAGAGACAAGTCTCGGGAGGTCACGCTACCGTCTTTCGCGATCGGACAGAAATTGAGCGGAAATCTCCGACATCTTGAGAGATATTCTGATATCCCGAATCGAAATTTTGATCCTTCTTACGACTTCAATATTCTGTTTGATACTTTTGATCTTTCGAAGCCTCTCTCTACATTAACCTTTTTTATTCTATTCAGTCTAGAACTTTGCCGAGAAGTCCTTTTTAAAAGACTATACTGGGAAAAAAATATTTGAAAATTTATTTAAAGGATATGTAAAGTTTATTTTACGCAAATAAACTTCATATTTTTTAAATACATTTTCATGTATTTTTTCACAGAAATAAACTTTTTTCAAATATTTCTCTTCAGTCTATCAAAAAAATAAAGAATATCTATTCGGTGTGAGTGCTAAATAAATAAACATATTTACTTAAATATGAATTCTTTTGTTGAAATAACGTAATTAATCGTCTTCATGAAAAACGCAATGGATTTAGAAAAATGTGTATTTTCTCCTTCAAAAAAAATTTTTCTTAATGTAACAAAAATATATAAAATATTAGTAAGTATATTAGTACGACTAAATCTGTTATTACTACCCAACAAATAAATATTTCTTATTTCTTAGATATTTTTTTCTTTTAGTGTGTGCAGAGTAACATTTTTGCGTTTTCTGCCATTTAAGCTTGATCTACAATGTGTTCTTTGCTTCCTGCTTCTTTCTCTTTATCCCTTTCTGACTCAAACCTTAAGCTTTAAGCCAGAAAAAGACAGAAAACAAGAAACAAAACACAAAGAGCTATTATTGTAGATCAGGCTTTAGAGGCGCTAAGTAGGATCTCAGTTTCCATACCAATAAAACAATTACAATAATCCTTGAGAATACACAAATATTAGAAAATTTAGATCGAAAATGCGACTAAAATTTCGACTCGGGAATTTGGAAAAAGAAAGAGAAAGATGCCGTGTGCGCGCATGCGTAAGTGTTAACAGCGCGATTCCCAATTAAGATTTCGCCCCGACGCGATTTTCCATAATCGATAAATCGTGAACGACGATGGAATTAGTTATCGTTATAGGATCATAATATAATATAATATAATATTATAACAAGCCGCGGAAATCGCGCTTTCCCTCGTCTCTCGTTTACTCTCGCGCGCGCGCGCGCGCGCAATAGTTGCCGTAATTACCTTGTATTCGGCGCGATTTGTAGCGCTTGTAATTAGCGTCGCGTGAACATTGAAACGCGCGCGCGTCAATGCCTCGTTTGCAACCTCGTCGCTGTATACCGCGACGGTCGATAAAGCGTGAATCTCTGCTTGGCCAGACATTCGCGCGCGACACGAAATTCGCGAGAAGGTTCATAAAAATCGCGCTGATGACCAATAAATACATACCGTCCGGCGTTTCCGCGGACTTCAAGTCGTCGTGATTGTGAATGACGGTGTCGTTAGCGTTCTCTGCAAAAATTCGAGAGAGATGGGGATCGTTATCGACGTTATCGTGTACACGCCGGGTCGGCGAAACGCGCGTGGCGCTTCGGAATCGCTCTCGCGGAACTTACGGCATCTCGTGCTCAGATAACAGTCGGTCTGGGGCGATTGATTGCTGTAGTAAACCGGTGCGCAGTGCTGACGAATGTTGTAAGTGTCGTAGAAGTCAGGGCTACAATACGGACGTTTCGGCCTGGCGCAGAAGGGCTCGACGTTTTTACCTGCGGATAATTGTCGGTCAGAACCGAAATAGACGCCTCTACATGGCGAATCGGAAACGTAGAAATTCTCTTTTGCAGACTTTCGTATTTTTTTTCTTTCGTTTTTTCACGCATTGTCGTTACCCTCGTATCCTGGTTGGCAGATGCAGTTCAGTTCCGGGTCATCCTCCACCTCGAAATACTCGCCGTCCCTGTACGTTTTTCCGTTCACGATACAAGTAGCTCTGTCTTCTGGTTTTTCGGCTGAAAGATGCAAACGAATCTGTTCCATCTGTGTCGTTTATATAAAGCGTGCTTGATTGCACCGGACAGTCGTCTGAAACGAGCTTCAACGACTGAAATACCCGCCCGATTCTATTAACGCGCGACTCTTCAATGAACGAATGAATTTTCCACATGAATAGTCGTCGGCACAAGCATCGCGGATGTACACGCGTTGGTAGATTTTTCGTGCAGGATATGTACTCACGGCAGATCGTTTCTCCGGGGCAACAATCCAACGGCGACTTTCGTCTGTAGCAGCCAGGGTGGGGAACGGAGAAACAATCGATGACGGCGCACGTGAACGCGGCACTGTTCAAAGAAATTGCACGTTTCGATGAAAGTAGCGTCCAAACGATATTTCCCGGCGGTGCGAGGGGAGGGTTCTTCGCGAGAAGCGCGAGAATTGCATCTACGTTTTTGGCACGTGTTACTCTCCCTCTCCCTTTCTCTCTCTCCCTCTCTCTCCCCCTCTCTCTCTCTCTCTCTCTCTCTCTCTCTCTCTCTCTCTCTCTCTCTCTCTCTCTGCCTTCGTCTATGACAGTATAATCCCGAACTGTCGTCGCGTATGAAAGAATGCGACGTAATTTGAATAGTGTGACATTGTACATGAATTTTTCATAATATCGAAGGAAAATGCACACGGAGAACGACTGATGGCCGTATTAAATATTCATGATCACCGCGCTATTTGCTGGAAAATGGTGAACCCTCCGGCGGGTAAAATCAAGTGCGAAACAGCCGAGCGGAATCGGCGATGCGTTCTCCTCAAAGCGCGTTGCGGTAGCGTGAAATCGCGAGGAAGGGAGAGGCAGATCGGCCTTTCTTATTCCCAAGCCGCTCGAGCCAGAGTGGACTCGCATCTCATTAATCTCGCGTAGGTGTCGATTGGGAATGTCAGTCGTGTACGTACTCTCCGTCGTAGCCCATCCTGCAGACGCATCCTTTGTCGCAGGGGTTCGCGTCCTCGTCCTTGAGCTTTTCGCCAATCGCGTATTCCTTGCCGTTGACGTGACATTTGTCCGTGGCTCTCTCTTTCAGGTGATCGCAGTCGTATTTCGTGGCGCAACAGTCGCCCTCCTTGTCGTATACCGGCTTACAGCCGAGAGCATCGTAATACATCAACGGGCCCGGGCATTTCGTCTTGTCGCACGCCTCTTCTCGCGGCAAACAGGGAATCGAAAGAGAGAACTCGATAAAAATATCGTATAGATCCTCGCGAACAAATGGGCCGATTAGCGACTTATCGCTCCACGTGTTCGCAATTACCGATCGTGAACGCGCGTGCGCGCGTGTCAACGTGAATCAGTAATCGATGTAGTTGTAGGTTAATGTGAGACGACACGACGGTCTTGCTGGGAATCGTGCAAAAATGACGAAAGATGAAGTGCTAGTGCTAGTTGGGTTAGTCTCTAAAGTACAATCAGTGTATTCTTCATTGAAATGTGCTACACTTTACACTGAAGAAAAAGATAAGCGGAAATTCATTTGTGAGATGTAAAGTTTATTTCTGTGAAATGAAGTTCATTTTTGTTCACATGAGTGAATTTTATATTCCATCAAGAAATTGTCGAGTATTTTTGTTTCAGTACAGAGGAGACGAGTCTGTGCCCAGGGATTATGCTGGCCACACGTTTGATTCATGTATTTATTGTGACAGTGATAATGCAAAATGTTCCTTTTTAAGACACAGATGCTCTTCTCATGTTCTACAGAACATTTTGCGATTCCTTTGGCACTGTTGCTCTCACGATAAATGCATAAACGAAACGCATATAGCCAGCATGACTCGGGGATCAACTTGACCTAGTCTGCTCTATAATTGATGGTTCAGCTAAGTGCAGCACTGCAATCAGTAAAGTCTCGCTGAAAGAAACAGTTAATAATACTTTATTATTTCTGTTTCTATCATTGATACTATTCCTATCATAGTTTGAAAACATAGACGATGTCATTGCACGTGAATTACATGGAAATCGTTAATTTAATCGCCACAAATGCAGAAAGTTAAATTTGGCACAGCCAAATACAGTATGACTATCATAGATTTCGCGGTGAAATTCTGTAATGGTCAAAATCAGTGAGATATAAAATAGAGCGGTAAAGTGGGAGTGTTTCCATTGAAAATCAACGAATATTCACTGATTATCGACGAAATACTCTCTTTACTGATTCAATCAGAAACATTTCTGCCGATCCACTTCAAGAGAATACGTGACAGGAAATTGAGATTTTACTTTGACGTGTTCATATGAATGTTGAGGTAGGCATCACGAATCGACTTTGTATGAAATCGAGTGATTAACCAACGATTTAATTGATATCTAACTTAATGTTGCAACTCGAGTCGTGAATACCGTCGTGATCGTCATGTGGGCAAAATATCGCGCTTTGAATCGTTTACTTGAGGTTATCGCGTTTTGATTGTCAATCGTGCAGAACTGATTGTGCGTGCGCGCTCACGTCGTCGGGCTAACCGCGTCCCCCATGCGCAACGCTAATCGATCGCTGCGCGATTCTCGTGTCCGCCTGGTGAATCTTCTCGAATGCGAATCACCTGTGTGTTGTGGCTCACCTTGGTTGGCCGCAACAATCGCGACGGCGAGCGTCACGTAGACAAATACTTGAATGAGAGAAGCCCGGCGTGTCATGATGGAGCACCACGCGAAAACTTTAGCGTCTTGCCTCGGCTTTGCGTTATTTATACATCTAACCGATCGTGGCCGGCCGCCGATCGGGGAGGGATGGATCCCGAGAAAATGGTCGCGAAAGAGACGATAAACAAATGGAGAAGTGATATAAAAGCGGTAGACAGAGGCAGAAGAGGAAAAGCGTAACTGTGTGTGAGAGCGAGAAGGTACGCAAACTAACGCGAGAGCGGGACATTGTTTAATTATGAGAGGGACCGGGGGACGAGGAAACGTGTGAAATGTACGCGAGAAAAATACGAACATGTGAATATGAGAGAGAAGAAAAAACTAGAGAGAGAAAAAGGAGGAAACGTATTCTCACACACTGCGAGAGGTAACGAAAATAAATCGCAAACGATCAGGAAGAGTGACTACAATGTTCTCGAGGAATACAAAGTGTACTATTCACACATTACAGAATACCCGGACGGACGTGAGCATTACGTCAGTCTCTTGGGTCTCTCTGTCTTCTTCGGGTCTCTCTTCCTCGTAATTCGCGTAACCTTCGAAATTTCCAAGATCCGCATCGACGCGGTCGCGCGTGAAATTTTCCAATCGCGGGGTAACTCGGGAGCGCTAGTTATTGCAGTATAATGCAACATGCATAATATCTCGTCCGTGAGGAATCGATTAACTACGGTTGCCTTAATTATACAGTCTCGTTGGCCAAACCGCCCTGTTCGAAATCGCTCGGTTGAGGAGGTTGGGTGGTTTGCGAACGGAAGTCGCTCAGGGGGAAGAAGGAAGGTGGGATTACTCAAATAGGCATGGCAGGGGGCTCTCGCGCATAAATTACGCCGCGATCGTTTTGTGGTATAGCTCGATCGATTCGACGGTTCTCTCAATCACTCACACTCTCTCTCTCGACGAGTGACAGTAGCGTGGCGTTATCATTATCTCAATCGTTGCCAAAGCAACGGAGCATTCGGAGAAGCGATTCGCGTTCCCCGTCCCGATAAAGCGTCCCAGCGACAGCCGCGCCAGGATTTTCGCCAGCTCGTTAATTCGCGATTTTATTCGCCTCGTCGATCGCGCTCGATATCGCGCGTCGCGCATAAATCCCTCGCGCGGTTGACGTTACAACCGGTTAAGTCACGATGCTGAATCAATAGTCCGCGTATTGTGCGACCGGTTCCCGGTGTGTACCCAACGTACACACGCACACACACGCACGCGGGCTATTTAAGCTCGTTGATAGTCACATGAGGTAGTTCCCAAGGCTAACTACTCGGTCGATATTATCTTCACGTGGAAAACATGTGTATATATACATACATATATATATATATATATATATATATATATATATATATATATACATACACACGCACGTCGGTTGTGTGAAATAATCTTTCTACGAGACGTACATCCTAATGAGCTCTGCTTATAGCACAAAGCGCGACCATTCGGAGCAATCTAATGCCGACTCCTCTCGAATCACGTTGCAAGTTGAAGGCCGCCGCCAAACAGGATTTTTATCGCGCGGGAATTACTCGTGCGAGCGTGTCGCGCCGCGATAATTACCGCGAATTTCGCGGTATATTCCCGCCCGTGCGTTACAAACTGCATTTATTTATTGATACATTTCGTCTCGCGCACATTAATATTATTTTATATTCATGCATTCGATTAATTTTTCGAGCGCTACATATCGCGACGGCAGCCCGGGTCCGCTCGTGAATTTACCGCGGGCTATTTAAATGCAATTACGTGGAAACAAATCTCGTGACGAAAAGGTGTGTACAGGCGAGCGGCCGCGTTTGTATTTTTCTCTCCCCCCGCCCTCCCCCTCCCTATGTGTTTTGCCGCTTGAAGCGCGCCGCGGATCCGGGCGATTGCGCGGAATCTATTTTCGCGGATAATGATACAAATCAGGCGCATGATCTCAGGAAATGAATAATTTATCTCTCGCGACGGATTAAAGCGAAGTTTGCGTGTCCAGTTACGCAACTTCCATAACTCAGTGCGGTTACTTGAAAGCGAAGCGAAGCGTTGCTAACTGAATTATTCGGCTCGAATGTCGCGATATTCATAATTTATTATTGTTTTGCAAAGAGCCAAAGGTGTCGAACGCTAGCATGATCCGCGGACGTGATCTTCTATGCGTCAAAATAGCGCAATTAATCGCGCGAGAAATCGCACGAGGTCAATTCAACGTAATGCCGGCGCGTCGGCATGGAAAATTTTTACGACAAAATGCTGTCAGCGTTTCCTCGAATAACCACGATAAGAGATTATCTTAAGTGCTCTTAAAGTGTTTTTAAGTATTCCTAATGCTGCCAAGCGTTTCATAGGCAAACACGCAGTCAGACTGCCACTCGTTGAAATATATCGCGTCTTTTAATTGAGACGCATTTGGCGTCATTTTCATTCATTTCCACCGATAATGCAATGGTTCTTCTTCAGTGTCACAATCCATTAACAGTTGAAGCATAACTAAACGTGCATTTCGAAAATATCGAATATAGATAGCTGCGAAATAAATCATCGAAATTGAGTATAACTTGATCTTAATTTTCAATTAAAAATCAAACGTTGTGGAACGCAATTAACTTTTCGAAATATTACACTGAGAGAAAATAGATCTAGATAAAAAAATACTTATTCGGTGAGCACTAATAACACACCTAAATCTAGATTCTTTCATTTGTATAGAATAAACGATTGTTTTCATGAAAAGCCTTGAGAAAAAAAATGTGTATTCTCTTCAGCGAAAAGAGCATGGATTTTGTGAGTCTGGTCGCGGTTCTTTGGTGCGACCAAGAAGCTAAATAGAATTATTCACGGGAGGATCTCCTTATTGTTCGAAACAAGTCAGACGCACGCGCCGAATTATCCTTCGGTCTTTATTTCAAACGCACATAGTAAACCTATCTCTATCTTGTTCAGACTATCCTTTACTTCCAATTAAGACGGTATTAAACTCCCCTTTCCTATTCCCAGATAAACCAGCTATTGATTGACTTACTAATTAGACCCATTTTGTGGCAAACAAAATCCTCGTGTGAATAATTCTATTTAGCAATACACCAAAGAACCGCGATGAGTCTCTTACAAGCCGTATTCTCTTCATTTTGGGTTATTTCTACGAAGAGCTTATACATACATTCGTACATTCGTATATTTTCTTACTCGAAAAATATTTTCTGCTAGCTTACATTATCCGCACGCAAAAAAAGTTTCAGTTGGTGCAACCAAATAGGAACCAACTGAAAATTAGATGACCAGAAGAGATATCTCTGTTATGAAAACTAATATTTCTGTTGTCACAACCGAAAATATTCGTCTGAACATTCAATGATATAGAACTCATTTGAGGCAACTGAGAACAATTGACTATACAGAAGCCTCATAAAGGAATTTTTCTGTTCCCACAGCCGAGTTTTCGTCTGATCTCCGAAAATTTGGTTGCACCAACAGAATTGTTTTTTCCGTGTGGTGTTGCTCGGGTTACCACAAAGTGTCAAGAGGAAGAAACCAGGAGCAAAAAAAATGTCCAAACTTCATGTAACTTATATTTTTCGCAAGTAATTCTTAGAGAGTTAACCAATTAGTCCAGATCAGTCAAAGGGTTTATGAGTGTATAGGGAATCGACAGACAGACATTCTATTTTATACGTGCATAGATTAGTATAAGTAAATATGTTATAAGTACCCACCGAATAAATATTTTTTTATTTTTTAAATATTTCTTCCTTTAATGTACGTATCTTTAATTCATCTGATTTTTTTCTATCAAATCGACGAATTTTGCGCGCGCCAGTCGAGGTAAAGAAAGCGAAATGAATCTTCACGAGGTCCCAAAGGCAAATCGACCAATTCCTTTCTTTTCTTCGAGTGGAAGTTCGCGCAAGCTTACGTCCCTCACAGTGTCGCTTCGTGAGAAAAATATCGTAAAGAAGTCGCGTCTTTCTCAGCATCGAGCGCATGATTTTCCGAACGCTTTGCGGTCGAATCGATGGTCGACAATGGGAAGCGTCTTCCGCGATCGCGGATCAATTCTCCGTTGAACGCGCGACGCCGTTAGCCGCGCTGCCGCGTGTCGAGCGTATGGTCGCGCGTAAATCATCGGGCCGGGCGTACTCGCAGGAGCAGCTCATAACTGCTGAATTTACTACACACTCTGGCACGCCGGAGTACGTACGTTACTCGTCGCCGAGCCGAGCCGAATGTCCGCCATTTACACTCGGTTACAGCGGCCCGGCCGATGTAAGCCGAATAAGTTCACCCGCTCGGGAATCTGATTTATCGCGTTCGGGGGATTGGATCATTAGTCTTATCCCCGTAACTAATGACTCAATCTCGGTCGTCCCACTCACGACTGGATTTATCGGGCACGCTCGATCGGTGACGACGCGAGCGCGCGCGCGCGCGCGCGATCGAGCCGAATATTTTCGCGTCCGGACGGCGTTATGTAGAAACGTGGCGAATGTAGAGACTCTTGCGAAAATGCAAATTCGCAATGAGAATCGACTAATCTTATCTTACCGCGCAACTCTCTCTTTCTCTCTCTTTCGTTCTCTCACTACCTTGCTCTCATTCTCTTTCTTTTATTCTTTCGCTCTCTTGCTCTTACTCCCTCGCTCTCACTCTCTTATTCTCTCACTTTTTCACTCTTACACTCTCATTCTCTCTCATACACACACACACACACTCTCTCTCTCACTCTTTTATTCTCTCAACTCGGCTCCGCGTAAATATCGGGTTAATGACGACGTCTTCTCCTCGAAAGGAGGACAAGGAGCAGACAAATTTCTGCCAGGCCACGCAGACTCGTCGTTCCGGAGGCGATTAAAGTGCAAGCGGCGATGAGACGGCGCTAATTAATAAAGGCGGATAATTAGGTGACTTTGTTTCTGCTCAGATTAATGCCCGTTTACACGGAGCATCGCCCGAATCATCTATCTTGGAATTTACAGCGCTGAGTGATTTTTAATCGGACGTGCGCGAAAAGCAATTTCAGCTCGTGCAACTAAATAGAGACTAGATGAACATTCGGCAGCGTGTGAAGCATTTGTCATCGCAATCGAAAACATTTGTCTAAACATTCAG